AATTCATACATAAATCAACAAGTAGCATTACACGTTGCTGATTTAGATCATTCTCATAAGTATCATTTACACTATATAGCTCTACTGAAGTGTTTGGAAATTATTATGAGGATTCTCCCATTTGGGCATTTTCCCATTTGGTAAGTCCACGCTCGTCGTGACACTAAAACACCTTTAAAATCCTCGGCAAATGGAATTCGAATAAATAATCACAGCAACTATCGCTAACCATTACATATTTTACAAGAGCCCATTAGAGTTCTATGAATGGTCAGAGAGCAACTTTTAGTCATACAATAACTTTAATTTATATCTAGTATGTGTAGCGAGAACAAAATGATAGAAGTCAAACATTTCTTTGATTGGAACACAATTTCCCCCCAAAACAAGATTTACACTAAAGCCTGGCAAGTGGACAGAATGTAGAATTTGGTTTTTTTCCAACCGCTTTTGCCACACATCATGTGTTTTTGTGTGATTATTCAATAATTATGTTGTTAATGTGGTACACGTAAAACTTCTGTATATAAGTGAGTCAAATACGTTTAACAATCTGATCGCATTTGAACATTTCATAAGTTTAACGTAGTTGTTTGAAAATAAATAAATGGGCATACAATAAATTATAAATTAAGCAACAAATAAAAAAAATGTCTTAATTTAAGTGAGTAATCTAGTTTTTGTTTTTTATATCTCAAAAGTTCAACATAATAATGTCTCACTGCTAAGTAGCCTTTCCAAAGTTTCAATAACAAAATTAATAAGTAATAAGTCCGACATTAGTCTGGCTGTTAAACAATTAGGGCTCAGATAATTAGATTTAGTATAGTATACAAATAAACCTGTTATGTTATGATATGATATATGATATGATGATATATGATATATGTGTGATTGAATATGAATTTACATGGTGTGATGTTTTGACATGACACAATAATTATATTTACATTATGCAAATTATTGGATTGTATTTTATATTTCTGTGCTGTACTTTTAGTAGTGAAAGGCAACAATTCCAGTTCTGGAAAAAAACGTGAGGCTTGGTTTCCATCCATAAGTTCCAAATTTGAACCTATTCATCGGCTGTGACGCATTAGGTAAATTTGCATACACACTTTGGCATACAATCTATGAAAATGATGTTGTGTTTGCTAACAAAATATGAAATATCCTGCATTGACCTTTCAACACATTTTATTTTGAGAGTACTTGAGGTTCATAGCCTTTAAGCATACATAACTAAAATGTAAATGACTGTATAATAGAACAGGCAAAGTAACTCAGTGTGTGTATTTTGTTTCAAAATTTAAGAAGACTATTTCATATTCTGTGGTTAGTTTCTCATTACCCATCCACGGTCTTAACATTATATGGTGTATATATTTGTCAAAGCATGGAACATTCAGATTTCGTTCAAGCTGTGAAATACGGCAAACTTACTTAAAAACACGTGATCTCAAAAATCTCGTGGAGAGAAAAATGTATTCAGGTATGGGATTCAGTATATTCGTGTGAAATGATTAACGTTTACTAAAAAGAAATCCAGTTGTACTGTAAAACTGTTGGGCAATGATATAAGCCAATTTAATTGTAATATATTTATTAATCTAACTTTAATAATCTTAGTGCAATACTATATCAGCCCATTCAAATGTACATCAACCCAATTCGTAAACGCACTAAAATCAAAATCTGTGATTGGTGTGTTTTCTATTTTGTAACAAATTATTTATATGTTACATTGTTGATGTTACTATTTTCAATGTTATTAAACATTTTGTGATCATACCACCTCAGTTATTTCTTGAATGTTTTCAAACATTGTTTATTTGTTAATAATGCAATATGAACGAAAACATATTATTATTATCATACATCTGTCACCGTAACGCCATAAGTTACAGCGTGTCGTAATTTTGCGGTATTTTACAGAGTATTTCATCCTACCATATTAGGAAATGCGAATTCTAAATATGGAATGCTTACGCACTCAGACAGTACACCGTCGCATCGACCTCCGCTGCGCGTCGATCGATACTCCCGCTGTACTGTCTTCGTGCATACTTTGAGGCATCCTCGTAATAACCTCGTATTATTGACGTTCGATACTCCGTACTGTAGAAATACTATTCATCAAGAACTAAAACTGTTGCAAGAACACACTATGTTATTCATGAGATGCAAAATCAAGATCACTTATAAGCATGTGCAGTGATTGTACTTACCAAAAAATACGTGCGTATTAGAAAATGTAATTGTTTCGTTGAAGAAAGACTTTTCAGTTCATGATACATCATAGTCCAATGTATCTATCAATATACAATACCAAACAGGGTCACAACTTCGTATTTTCATTATAATTGTCACTTCAACCAAATTGATTTTATACTTACTCCACTTTAATAAATTTACATTTTCGTCGCAATGCTTCTTCAAAATATGTAAATACGAAAAAAATACCTTCCTATTATTTTTCGAACAATATAATTTACTCATTTGGGGATCAGTTGTCTCCCTCTGGCAAACTATTATCGCTTTTTTGTGATATATTCGTTTGTTTTTTCTGTGTGGCGGTGATATTGATTTGGTACGAACAAAATTAATTTTGATTTAGATATGATTGGTGGCTATGTCCACAGTATTGATGTTCCTCGCGACGGTATGTGGTGTTTTGTTTTTTTGGTGCTAAATTTTCTCGGTAGGCTGTTATTTCAAAGTTCTTACTCGAACTGGATCCTTCTGTGGACCCCGCGTTATGCGTGAAATCGAACGTAAAATGGTTTGAGCGGTAGACGTTCGTCTCGCATTACGCGGGATCTCGCATTGAACAGAAAATCCACTATTGTCAGCTTGTTGTTCTAGCATTAGTGAAATTGCAGGTTCGACTCCAGTGGTCGATTGCCCACTCTGCAGTAAAAATAGTAGTATATTCTGAACATTTGCCCCGGTGACATTTACATTGTAGATATGGCGTCCAGTTGGAGGCAAATACAAACGTAAATGTAATTTAAAGCGGGGGAGGCGTCACCTGCGCATGCGTCAGATGGCCATAGCGTCTACCCATGAGCCTTTGCGTCTTTAGAGTTTGTTGTTATCGTCGCTTGGGACTCAATTCCCGCGCGTGCGCAGGTGACGAGATGACCCTCCAGCTTTAATCACGAGTAAATACGCATGTTGTTAACAAGTCACGATGTTATTCAATGACCCCCCCCCCCGGTCCAGTAGTAGATCAGAATGAAGTTATGACAGAATGTTATACGCGCTGCGGGAAAATATTTTCATAATCACTCAAGATAACAATAACGTGGATATTTTTAGATAATGATGTTTGAGGTTCTCAGACCAAGTACTTTATATGACCATAGACCATGTATTACTGATTGTGGAGATAATATACGGGATGTATGAAAATGAAAGATGGCCCGTTTTATTAAAAAAAAAATTTTGTAGTTGTGTAGTATATTCTCACATTCACTAATATTGTATGCAACTATTTCAACATGTTTTACAGCATGTTCGTCTAAGTGACAAGACCCATGGCTACTCCCAAAATAATGTGGACAGGAATGTGAGAAAACCATATCTATTTTAATATATCCTTTTTAGCTAAAACAGCACCGATTGAACACATTTTCTGTTTTTAACAGACATTTCACATATTTGCAGAGCGGAAATGCAACTTTGAAGTGCCTGTGAAATGGCTGCTATTTTCACGCCTAAAATTATCCATTGATACATAAATATTATTAATTTTTATGTTTCTAAGCATGAATTATTTTTTTAAGTGAAAACAAGTGTTTTAAACTCTACGGCAACTTTATTTTTGTGTATTTTAAAACGAGGCTCCTCATTAGCTTCTCATTTGCATACAGAAATTTCCCTTGTGACGTCAGAAGGGGAAGTCGCATGGCAGCTTGCATTGCCGATAAGTGTAAATAAGGCAAATTTCTTGTGCAGTTTTCTCGTCTTTGACTAAATTGTCACTTATGTATTCGTTCGGCGAGGAAGAATTGACCATAATGAACACATAGTATCATTTTTGTTGCATGGGGTTGAGTTAGATGTGAAATATGTCCGTTCTGGTGTAGCTGGTCACCGTGATCGTCACAGACACCGGCGCACGCTTGTACACTGTCGCTGGACAAAATAGAATTTGACGTCGGAATTATCTCGTTATTTAGCAGGTCACTAGGCACGTC